AAAACCACTAGGGGAACATTCTGAGCTTCCAATTGGTTATTCATGTCATATATAGAAGTAAGTGTATAAAACGGAGCATTTCCAAAAATGGAAAAAGGTGGCGGGGGTGCCACTGTGTTTGATTTATAACATGAGCAATATCTTAGCAAAGAGAAAAGACCTTATTTTATATTCTAGCTTGTCAATATCTGTAATTTGAGTTTCTAATTTGTACGAAACCATAGACTTAGTAGTTTGACTTCACAAACATCTTATGTTTACTTTAATATTTATTTTGAAATTAAGAAATTGACAAATGTATAGTTCTAAAATATGAATTACAATCTACAGTTTGATACCAAACTTATTGATATAAATTCATGAAAATTTTGAATGCGAGTCAACAAACGAGATGACATGGCCTTTTACCTATGACCCGTCTCGAAAGGGTTAAATTGAAGACAAGTATTAAAATACTTAATTGGAAACTTCTGTGGACTGCATATGCTTTAGAATGATGCTTGGAGCTGTTAGTGCAGACCCTTATCAACTAGCAGTTCAGAACAGTGTCCAAAAACATGGTAAATGCAATCCAAAAAAAGTCTCCAATAAAGTAGTCTTCTTTGTCTATAATTTTATCTTAAACAACTATGCTAAGTATTCTCTGTGCACTTTAAATATATGTAATAAAGACATCAAGATTAGAAAGTACAGCCTCACACAAAAATATCTTGTCTGATTTTTATACATTTTAAATACTCAGCTTGTTTCATATTGTTTGTTTGGTAAAAAAAAAAATATTTTAAAGTATAAAAAATAAAATGCTCATTTATTGTATTGAAAAGAACAGTAACTTCATTGTATACTTACAAATATTTTTAGCAAATTATTTTCATAATGTTTTGGGGGTCTTCTAAACTAATTGTGAAATTGTTTTATATTAAAGAAGATAGAACTTTAATGGCAGATTCTGAAATTAGTCCATTTTTGCTTAATAAATTTTAAATCTTGTAAAAAAAGAATTAAATATATACAATATAAACACACACACAATTTTTCTCTTCTATAAAGATACCAAATGTTCTTAACAAAAATTCTTTCCAATGAATTTGTCATAATTTCAGTATTAAAACTGAAAAAAAAGAAGCAGTTTACAGTTTGTTGGTAAGTGGATATGGTGAAAATAATTTTAAGCCATGTTTTGTGTCACATGCTGATGTTGAAATTGGTGTATTAAACTGCAAGTGCAAGAAAATAAAAAGTGATATAAAGATTGTTATTTGACATGCTTTATTTACATTTTTGAAATATAGATGTCTGACCATAGTAATTGTAAGTAATGTTTACACGCGTACATGAACATTATTGAAACCTTCTCAACCTGTGAGAAGAGTTAAAAAAAGATATGACTTTTTGAAAAAAAACATGGACATTAAATTGTATTTACAATTTTTTTAATTAGTTAAAAGGTAAATTGTCCATAGTGATATTCTCTAATAAAAAAAAACACATTTTGAACTTTAGAAAACTTGATTTCTCAAATTTAGTATAACATTTTCGGTATTTTTAACTTTTCTTATGAAACAGGATAGCTTGCATTAATGATACCTAATAAATTTTTCTGGGATCTGATTATCATTAGTTTTGACTTGAAATGCTTAAACATTTGTCGTAACTAAGCTGTTCAGAGTATTGGTAACATTTTGGAGAATTAAAAATGTATATTGCAAATACGACTACAATTGAACATCAAAATACAGTTAATTAAGAGAACCACTGTACACTTTTTAACAATGAAATGTGTGTCTTTATCCACATAAAAAAAAGGGTTATAATGCAAGAATGAGAAAAGCTGTATGGTGCCACATTTTAGAGCTCAGGACAAGAAAATAGTTTTGGTGGTGTCAAGTCTATGTGACTACAAGCTTAAGAGTGTCCCAGCCTGAAAGGGAATGTACATTAGTACTGACAAGGAACTTTATGGCCTGAGGGTGTTGTGGTCTAGGCTTGTGTGGTTGATCTAAAATGACAAGTAACCTCTGCTCTATCTTTCAACATAGCAACTAAAGATTAAAATGTATATTTAATAACTCTCTGACTCTTGGAAATGCCACAATTATAACTTCCTCTATCCATAAATTTGAAATTGTAAAGATAAAAATTATGAACTCTGTATATAATGCAATACTTGTAGTATGTTTTGTTATTGTACTTATTTTTTGGATGTAGGCACCTACCTAAGATATGTTTTTTTTAATACAAGTTGGTTGTTAAAACCATTGTGGAGGTGTTATTTGTACCAAAAAATATACTGTAACTCTGAGCATTCCTCACAAAACCCTGTAAGATTGTTAAAGTTTACAAGTATTTTGTACATCAAGAATGACATTCTAAAAATGTTATTTATCTATAGTAGTTATTTGCACTCAAACTGTTAAAATAGTTAGTGTAAGGTGTTTCCATTTGCATAGTCTCTAGAACCTCCTAAAAGGATATCAAAAGTTTAATATAAATGTTTATTTTTCTCTTATCATATTGCTAATTCTAGCTGTTATCATAAATATACAATACAATGAAATTATAAAAATTAGGGAGAAAAAAACAACATACCATTTGATTTTTGTAGAATTACTTTAGAGATATTGTTTTACTTATATTTGTAATTTTGGGTCTATTCCTTTTCACATATAGATAATTCTTATCCGTTACCACTTATTATTCATCTTGACGTAAGTCATTGGTACCCTCAAGGCATATTAGCTTCCTTGGAAGATGTGCACAACCCTTTAGCAAAATTTTCATTCAGCACATAATACCGAAAACCTTGTGACCGGACACAAAGTATGAGGTATATTTAAACCTTTTAATTGTGCATTTTAAAACTTAACTGATATAATAGTAAAAGCTAAATACAATATTAATTATCTCTTAACTATAACGTATTTTGGTAAGAAACAACTGCAAGTGCTGTAGTCAATCAAACATATAGTCATTGTCATGTACTCAGTGAAGACAACTTGGCACCAATTTCAGGATAACCATTGTTAGATTATACTGTAAAATGACCCCTTTCTAATGGTTATACATGTGTATGTAACATCTATATGGAGACTATAAATCTCAAACAAATCTGTTGAAAGTAGGTGTGGCAGCTGTCAGGGGTTGTAAATATTTACTACTTGTTCCAACTGTATTCAGTCAAAAAGGTTATCTAAACATCTCATTGTCTAGACATACCTCTACAGTACTTCTGTTGTATTATTGAAGATACAGTGTGTCACAGTAGAGAATTTTCATAGCTCGGTCACATGACAGTACATCTGAAGTTTGAAGTAGTTTTATTTTGAAATAAAGGACTTAAAACTTGGATAAAATTTAACTTTGGATCATAACACATTATAATATTCAATTCATTCACAAACATTGATATTAAAGGTGTTTAGATTTTGAATGTAACAGTGACTTGCACAGAAAAGCGTTTAAAGGGCCTCCTGTTTCAAATGGGTTAATACAAACATACTTCAAATTAGTCAATCGCCACTGCTTAACTACATCAATAAACTGCCAAATTCTTGCTAACCATTAGCTACTTGTGAATTGGAGTTTAAATTTTCTTTTATAATTTGAAATACAAAACCAGCATATTGTCAAGCAGAATCAAGTTATTTACTACGAACTATTGTAATTAATCATTTTTTATAATCAAATTCCAATTGGTTATTTTTAAAGAAAGCAGTAAATTTTGTCACTGGAAGTGAAATAATAAAGTGCTGTCTTGGTACCTTATCCAGGTTTCTTTTATGTACAAGCTATCCTTATTAACTTAATGCAATTTCACACTTTGAACCTGGAAACCCATTTATTTAAAACTTCATGCCTTTTTTTCACATTAGTATCTCCTTACCAAAAGAAATTTCACACTAATAAAACTAAGTAGAACTTTACTAGCATTGCTGTGAAATATGTCAACCATGGTTTGACTCCCATGTATAAAATTCTATGTAGACTACCTCAAAAATCTTTCAGTTTTTGTTACAGTTCTTAAGTTTCTTCTGTCCCACATTATTGCACAAGTAATTATACTTTCTGTAACAAGTTAAGTTTCATCACTTTTAGTCATTGGTTATTTAAAATAATATTGAAGCCTCACAATTGCAAAGACAATAGACAGTAATAGTTTATAATATAATCATTTATTCATATCATACATTGATAACATATTTTTATAGCTTTTAAACTTGCTTACACCAATTTAAACATACAGCAGTCTATACATGGGCAATTAAAAGTGACTGTATTGGTTATATCAGTGATAGAATCATTGAAAACATTTTATCATACTTCATGTCTAAAATCTACTGTAAAACTAATACTTGGTTGGGTACATTTATGTTCTGTATTCGTGACAATCATGTAAGCTTATCTCGCTTCCACACGAGTTCCACATCTTGCTCTACTTATAACAATTTGAAGCCGCTGAAAATATCATGGACCTACAAACATCAATTAAAAATATTACCTGAATGGATATACAAAATACAATGACTTGCACTTGCAATTTTAAACATGTATTAATTTGGTTAATATTCAACATTTATCACCAAGAAGAAAGTTATGAAATTAAGTCTGAAAATATGTACTGATCATTTACTTTATTACTAAGTTGTGAAATAAATGCATGATAGCAAACAATGGGTATTAGTAAAACATGGTAACCTGCTGTGTACAAGCTTCATTAGAAAATACCAACACAGAGATGGTTTGGTTGAAACTAGATTTAGACCAAAAACTTTGCAATATAAGCTTAAATACATACTACTTATTAAAGTTTAAAAATCATCTTAAAGTTGCATTATGTGAATGTTTCTAGTTATTATTATTACATTGGGTATCTTTAATTTTGTTCCTGAAGACTTTCTGCTGAACAATTTTACAATTTATCAAAATATTATGCTATTACATTTCTGGAATAACAAAGTAATATAATTAATATTTAATACAAAATAAAAATTATTAGTATAACAAATCTTGTCATATTCATCAACAATATATCATATATCTCGACACTTCTGCCCATGTACTTTAATGGCATCTTTTTAAACTTCATAAAGTAATGAAAAGCTTCATTGTTATCATAATCAATTATTAAATGTTTTAGTGGTTTTCAAACCTCAGAAAGGCAGTCCAGCTTTCTGCCTACACCTCTGCATCAGTGCTCGTAGCATAAACTGTTTGCGGGACAATTCTCGAACATGCTAAAAAAAGAAACTGTTGTTTTAACGTGTAACGAATTTATTATTATATATTTATTTTAATATCAATGTTTGTTTAGATTAAATTTCTATTTAAAAACGTACATAGCTTATGCTGTTAAATATGTATTGTGAAACTCTCGCCTATTCTCCAAAATTGTAGAAGATTCTCAAGAGTAAGAATCAACGATGTATGTAGAAAACCTCCACATGCCTATAAATATAACCAATGCTACACATAAAAAAAAAAGGTAGTATCTATTATTAGTTCACTATAGTCAGTGTGCTATAAACTTCG